AATGAAAAAAATTATTAAATCGAGATAAAAAGATTTCGTAATAAAGGAGTGGAAAATAAGTTTTTTTTACATCAATCATGTAATTATTATGTATCCAAATATTATAATAAATTTAATAATAATTTTTAAAATATAATTATAAATAGTTAAAAAGTATATTAAAAATTATAAAAAAATTATTAATAATAAATAAATAAATTTAATTTTCCATTCATTTCTACTCAAATTCATTCATCAATTCAAATAAAAGTCCAGATGACTTGATAAATGTAAACCCATGTGTCTTTCTCCCCAAATCATCCAAAATTAATTAAAACAAACATAATAATTATATTCAAATTCATCTTTGTATTCTCTCATTAACAGGAAATTAATAAAAACAAATAAGGGGTCAGCATACAATGTATTGAAGCTTATCTTTATAATTAATTGAAGTTTATCTTTATTGTATTGGGAGACATTTTAACAAAGTTTCTCAAAAAAAAATGAAAAAAATAATTTACTAAACCATCTTTTATATAAACTAAAAAAAATCATATCTATTAAAATAAAATAAACTTAAGAACATTTTTATATTAATTCTGAACAAGGAATAATAAAGTATTTATATTTTATTTTATTTACAAAATAACAATAGTATAATAACTATTAGAAATAAAGATTTTGATATCTATACTTTTTTATAATTATTTAAAAAAAATATTAATTGTTTTGTATTTTTTGTCTTTTTTAAATATAATTACTTTTTTCATTAATTATGTATTATATTTTTACTATTTGTTAAATATATAAATTATAATAACATTTTTTCTTTAAATTATCACACTTTTATTTTTTTTCTCTCTATATATAAATAAATAAATGATCTATAATAATTATTTTAATATTTTTTAATTTATATGAAATTAATTTAATTTTAATTTTAATTTTAATCTTACAAATTTTATTTAAAAGAAATTTGTTTTATAAAAATAAAATAAAAAAAATATTTTTATAAAAACTAAAATCTCTTTTAAATTTGTCATCTTTTCAAATTAAAATATTATATTGAATAATATTTAATTATAATAACTAAATTATTTTCAAAATATAAAAAATTATAAAAATTTAGGTATATATAAAAACGACCTTGTTAATAAAATTTGTAAAAGCTTAATATAAATTACTTAAAATCGTGAAATAACAAATTTTCCTTAAAATAAAATAAAAACTCTAATACCTTAAATGCTCTAATATCATATCCTCTGACTTTTCTTTGCCTTTATTCAAGATCGTTGGTACTAAGATTTTTTCCTTCGTAATTATAACAATTTAATAAATAATTTTACATGTTAAAAAACTTGAAAAATAAACTTAAAATAAAATATGTAATTAGTTTAGTACAATATTCTCATTATTATTTGTGTCAAAAATTATTATCAGTAGCTTTAATAAAACCTTGACAAAAAAAATTTTAAACTGTAATAATAACTATTATATTATATCAATTACATAAAGAAATTTGTGATATTTTTAAAAATGAGAAACATATTTTATTTTATTAATAATGAGATGTTTTTAAAAAGAAGTCTTTTTAGAAATACAAGTCTTGATTAGATTAAATATTATATATTAAATACATGTTATAAATTCTGTAATTGAATATTAAATATTACATTAATTTGTGCGTTCAAACATATTGAGTATAATATTTTTTATAGAATTAAATATATTATTACATCATGTAGTTGTTAATGCTTATCACAATATATTAGAAAACTCTTATTCTAACATCCAAGTATTTTTTACTGAATTTATAAAAATTCTTTCACTAAATACATGTTGATCTACATGCAACACAAATATTTATCTCTAAAAAGAAGTTAATAACAGAAAAATATCAATTTAATTCACTAATTTTTGAGTAAGAAAATGATACCTTGAGATATTTAATAATGTAAAATTCATTAATTTTGAAATGATTTTAGTGGTTTCAACTTCAACATTAATCAAAGACATGAATTGTCTAATAGAAATAATATATTTGATAAAATAAACTAACATTCTTATATATCAAAGAAATCAAAATATATGTAGTGGCTTAAAGAACAATATACGACTATGAAATTCTTTCAAAAACAACAATAAGGTATCCGTTTATCAATTTAAAATATTTTTTATCAATTTCATATTTTATTCGAGTACATAAAAAAATTAGATGTTGGGTTGTATATATTAATTTGTCACAAAACCAAAAATCTTTTAAAATTTTATTCAAAAAATATATTACAATTCTTAAAAAATTATTTATTTAGATTGATTATTTTAAAATTATTTTTTTGATTTCGTCATTAAATATAAGATTTACTACTTAAATTAAAATAATAAATAAATAAATATAATTAATATATCTTTCAAATCAAAATATAAAAGCAAACATAGTCCGGCGTCGAACAAATAATTTGATGACAAACGTGTGATGTCCCAAAAATTAGTTGTGGAAAATTGAAATCCGTTAAAAATAATAATGTAATGATCGAACATGTAATAATAAAGTAACAATAATATTGGACATAATAAAAAACAATTGAATTATGCAATGTTAATGGTCACTGTCTCACAGTTCAAATAATAATGGTAAGTAAGTCCATTTTCAAAAAAACGAAAATACCAAGTAAGACGTAGCTTCTCAAGAAAAAATAGGTATGAACACGAATTTGGACTTTATCTGCTTCGTCCTTTTGAATGCATTAATTGCATTGTTAGCCCAACAAACCATGCTACAAATTCTAATTCTCAGACAACTATTTTTACAGACATTCTATTATTTTTTTTTAGTTGATTGATAAAAAGAGAAGAGAATAAAGTAAAATAGATAATAATAATAATATAAAAATTTAAAAATAAATTGTTGAATGGATATTTTTATCTATCGTGTTAAAATATCATAATTCTAAAATTTAAGGCATCAATTTAAGAATTGAAAGCAAGGTAATTAATGGAATCACTGTTCCGAAAACTTTATTCATAAAACGCCTTTTGATTTTTCGTATTAAAAAATGTTTTTTTTTTTAAATAAGTTTTGGTTTCTACATTAGGTGTTGTTTCTTAAAATTCTGTAAAGTATTATCTGGAACTTGAAAATCAAATAATATTTTGAAATCACTTTCTTTTTAACAAATATATGATAATCAAAAGAATATAATGGAAACAATTTTCTGAAACATTTTATATTTTCATGTTTGGGAAAATACTTTTCGATATACTAAGAAACAAAACCTATTTCGTAAAGTATATTATAAGATGTAAAACAAAATATTTTTTTATTCAAAATATTTTTTTTAAAATGTTAAAAAGTACAAAATTTATATCGCAAACAATTATTTTGGAATGTAAAAACAATTTTTTTATATCGCAAAAAGTACTTTTCGATTGTTTTAAAAGTACTCTTTAAAGTATGAAAATTAGAAGGGTGTTTCAAAAGGTGAAAAAAAAATAAAGAAATACAAGAAAAACGTGTTATTTTATTAAATAAAATAATATAATAAAAAAAATATTTTTAATATATAAATATTTTTTTAAAGCAGATTCTATCTATTCCGTCCCCAAATTATGGACTTTGTGAACCCAAATCCCCAAGCCGGTTTCCAAGTTCTTAAGAGTTACATAGAAATTATTAAAAATTTTAAAGTTGATATAACGTAATAGTAGAAAAAAATAAAAACTCAATTTTAATTTAACATATTTTATGATTCAAAAATATATTTTTATTGTAAATAAAAAAAAGTATAAAAGACTGTTAGAGGCTTTTTTTTTTTACGAAAAGTAAAATTCTTATTTTCAAAATAGTAAAATAGATAAACACATAAGAGAAAAACCAAAATCTACTTATTTTATTTAAATAAATTTAATAAAAATTAATAGTAATAAATCAGTCTAATATTAATTGTGTTGCTCCATAGAAGTCTTACTCCTCCTAAAACAAATGTTTTTCATCATTTATACGTAAATTTTTTATAACAAAAATATTAAAATTTATGAAAGTGAATAAACGAGTTTATTGATCTTCACTTAATTTTACAATTTCATTTGAAGAATATCATATATTTTATGTCTCTTTTGCAAAACTTTAGAAAATTCAACTATAATTATTTTCCTACATAAATTTTTACTTTAAATTGAGATTTTTACTATTCAAATGTAAATGACAATTATATATATATAAACTGTTAAGGATTGATTCAATTGAAAAGTTAACCTAACTATTTTTTAATTGTTTTATAATAATTTATTATATACCTAAACTATTTTGAAATAAATTATTTTTATGACAAATGAGTTTTGTTTAATTTATTTACGATGAAACAAAATTATTTATAATTTTTGTATATAATAATAAGTTGTTTTTTTTTTCAAACAAATATTCACCGGCTCTATTAAGACTAATCTAAGATTTAAATATATAAAATTAACTCTATAGGTAATTTTATATACAAATTCATGTATTTTTTTAATATACACGTATTAAAAATATACTAAAAAAACATTTTTTCTTAATTTTTCAACCAAAACCATATATGTTTATTATAATAATAAATATCCACAAAATACACATAAAATTGTAACTTAACATTTTATAGTAAATAAAGTCTTATTTTAAGATCCTCTTTAACGACACTAAGTAACCATCAATTAGTTATTATCCTCTATTTTCAAGAACCATTTTTCATAATATACATAAAAGTCAAAATAAATAATACAATTTTAATGGCTTAGATGAAATGATTAAACTTAAAAGAGTTATTCAAAATAATTTATTAAATTTAGGATTATTATGACAAAAATTTAGATATTTATTTAAGAAAACACTTTTAAAGATTATATTGTAAGAGTAATTAATATTTGTAGAGACGAAAAGACTCATTTAGCCTTAAATTAAATTGTGAAATTAAAAGGTTGTTGAGGTAAGGTATAAAGTAAAGGCGGAGAAGGGGGAGTTGCAGGGAAGTAGAGAGCGCACAATGGAAAACGACGACGTTGAAATGCTTGGTGCAGATAGCAACGAAGCTGTATGAATGCGTCCATTCAATTTGCTTCTGCGTTTAATTTCTGCATCAATTTCCGTTTCCATCAACATTGCTTCACGCATGAATGCCGATTGCATTGCAGGGCTTGGAGTTGGATGACATGAAGAAGCGCTTGAAGGAAATGGAAGACGAAGCTTCTGCTTTGCGAGAGATGCAGGCCAAGGTCGAGAAGGAAATGGGATCTGTGCAAGGTACCTTCTTTCGTTGATTATATTGTCAGTACTATTTCAATTCTGTAGATTTTTTTTTTTTAAATATTCAACTTTTTATATATATTATTTGTGAAACTATATGTATTTGATATAAGTTGGGTTGAATTGGCTGTGTTCTATGGGTAAATTAGCTATAGTTTGATTTGCATTGTTGATATAGATCTTAATTCTTCCAATTAGTTAATTACCTTAAAAAATTAAGAATCGGTGCGTTGCTTGGTAATGTATTCTGTGTTATGCAATTGATTCGTTGTGGAAGACTGAAGAGTTCACTTTAGAGGTCGAGAAAGGGCTCTAACTTGGTTGTGAATGGCAAGATATTTTGTTACAATCAGGATAATTGTATTATAAACTGATGCTAGAAGAATTTTTGTGAAATTTTGTGAAGTTTTGTTTTCAAATATTTAGCGCTCAAGGCTCCTGCATTTCCCGTAAAGGGAATGCATAGCAGGATGCAATGCATTTCTAATTTATTTTACTCTTTTTCTTAACTTAAAAAAAAAATACCGAATGTTATTTGCTTTGTTTTTATCTTTGTCTTTTTCGTTCTGATTTATCTTCTTCTCCTTGCACATGGTGTGACCACTGTGCTTTCTTAGTGTGCAAGACATTTCATTACAATCTATTCTTGGACCCTTGTTTCTGTTATTGATTCTTATCTCCAAATAGTTCCTGCTACTGCTGCTGCAAGTCAGAACAATAAAGAGGAAGTAGATTCTCGATCAGTCTTTGTCGGCAATGTGAGCTATCTCTTTTTCTGTTTACACTGAAAATTTCTATTTTACTTATTTAATTATCTAATTGTCATGTTTCCTAATATTGGTCTTATATTACTGAGATTATTTTGTATATTTTGTCTGAAGTGATTAATTCAAAACGAGCCAATATATATAAATTTGTTAGCTGGTTTTGGAAACAAAATGGATTGTTATGCCTGGGACACTTGCCTTTGTGTTTTGTTTGCTTTAATTGTTTAGGATGTTTTATTCTTACACATGTTTAAGTGTGTGTGAAAGTGACACCGTACGAATAATAGAATGTGATAGAATAGAACTCCTACATCATTAAGTGGTCTCTCTTTCTTCTGACAGTGAGAATATATTCCCAGCAGCAAGATCAAAATGTCTTTTATTCTAAAACCCATTGGACAGCATTTGGCATGTTTCTCGCTGTTGTTTACTGTTAGGACACTGGATGTTGATTATATATATATATATATATATATATATATATATATATATATATCCATTAAAAGACAAGAATATTTGATTTTACTGTTTGATTATTTTGATTAGAGATGACTAATTTAAAACTTCTTTGTTGCAATGATTTTCTATTCAAATCAACGGTAAATCAGCTGGATGCTTACCATAACAGTATCCTTGTTAATTTAATAACTTAAAACCAGATTGCAGACCTAGGATACCAGGATTATGTACGATGAGTAGATTATTGATGGCATAATGCCTCTGTATAGAAATTTATGATTTTGAAACCTTACAAATTTGATTCTTACTCCAATGCATGTTACTTAGTTGTACCATGATTTAGATCCTATGTTTTACCTGACTAATGTTCAACCTCAACATTAATTACAAATTTTACTGAATAATCTCCTCTCTTAAATCTAATATTTTACTTTTCTCTTGTATCTTGTATACGGAGCTCTTGAAGAGCATGGACCAAACCTTAGCAACATGTCTTCTCTTTCACCCCGTTATGCTATGATTTGTTACTTATAGCCTCTTACCCAAATCCACATCATCTGCCCTGCCTACCGACCATGATTTGTTACCTATAACCTCTTACTCAAATCCACACCTGCCCTACCTACCTGGCCTTTTTCAATTGGCTAGTCTTTCCAGTACTGATGCTTAGCAACTTGAAGCCCCAAATTTCTCACCTTTAGAATATGCTGCTTTCAAAATCCAAAGCTGCTCATCTTAAGCAGTACTATTGGAGGAATAAATTTTCATCCCACTTTACTGTGCGTGCAAACAATCTTATTTGAAATTAACCTGGGAAAGTCTTTTTTTTTTTTTTCATGCACCAATAAAATCATATTGATATCTTCGGTCCATTAATAGCTGATCATCTGGGCCATACAATGGATTCCTCTTGAACTAATTTGGGATTTGTTTTACACCATGCGATTGAATGTCCATGGCCATTTATGTGGTCTTTTATACGTTTTCTATGTATGTCCGACTCCATTTAGTTATTGGCTTTAGCTGACTTTTTTTTTTTATCTTATGTTCATAAGCCAAAGTTGTTCATGTTCGTTGCTGGTGTATAACGTGAATGTCTCACCGTTAATTGAAAGATTAATGCATTAGTCTTCACCTACTTAAATTTGGAAATTTTGAATTCTTTAAATTATTACTAATTTTAACTTTTAGATGGGAACAACCATTTTTGTTTGGTGTTGTTGAATGTGGTTTTGATATTTCAAAGTTTGATTGTGTTTTCAAGTGGTGGTGTCCTAATTGACATATGCCCGACTCCAATGGCAGGTTATGCATTCATCTGTAAGTTTTCTGGTTTAGTAATGATGCAGTTGGAAGTATGTGATTCAAATATATAATATGTACCTGGAGAGAAAATTATGTTAGAAATTTACGAAATTAAGATTTGAAAAACAAATTATACAACAAAAAAGAAGGGAGTGATTGACAAAATTTAAGAAGCTAAAGCATTAGTTAATGTGGAAAGTGATATTCATGGAGTTGTGGGAAGGTGAACATACGGATTTGGCTCCTCTAAGATGAGGAGATGCACTTTAGATCATAAATTGCACTTGTAATTGTTGATTAAGAAATCAGTGGTTGATAATTGTGACAAAACCAAATACATATCTAACAAAATCTAAAATTAATTATAATATTAATCTTTTATTTTTTTTTAATTAATGATTATTATTGTACTTTAACTTCGAAAGTGCATTTCCCTCACGTTAAAGGAGTCAAATCCAGAACATCATATTTTGATAGTGAAGAGGAAGGTAGGAAAAAGAACAAAAGTTACATATAAAGCTAACTAAAATTTAGGGTGAAAATACAGGCCTATAGCATAGAAACATTCAATGTTTTTGTGGTGGGATGGACAGAAGAATGGATTAGATTGCAGATCGAGAACGTGGATTCCTGCTGGTGGGAAGAGGATTTTGTAGTTAAAGAACAGTTCGCGGTATCTCCCATTTTGATTGCAAAGCCAACGGATGCTTTTGGCGGTGCCTAGTGCTCAAAAGTATATAATAGGTATTATTTTCTCATGGTGAGGGGTCCTTGACATTTCTATGTTTTCTTCCTTGGGATCAAGAGGGAATTGTTAATCAATTTTCTTTTTTACTGATGTTGTAACTAATTCACCACAAAACCTGAAGGAAAAAGGGGGTGGAGTAGAGGGAAGAAAAGCGAAAAAAGGGATGACAAGTTTTCCATGACATTATTCATGAAACTTACCCACTAATTTTGCAGTTCCATGATAAATTTGTTTCCTTTATATATTATTGAATTAAAATTAAAATTTGGATGTTCTCTAGTTTTTGTATTGCATTGTACATGAATAGAGGAGTGGAGTGGATGGTTGACATCAAAATTACAAACCATTTAAATAGGCAATGGGTGTATTATATTGCATGATTGTTTGTTATACTTACTGATTAAAAATTAAATTGTAAATTTCTCGAACTTTCCATATTACCATAATGTTCTTGACGCAATGCACAAGTTATCAACTGTTTTCTTGGACAAGCAATAGCAAATTGATTGGCTTTCCGTGTGGCTTTGTCATCAATTAATCTCTTAGAATTTATATTTTGCACCAGGTGGACTATTCATGTACTCCAGAAGAAGTGCAGCAGCATTTCCAGTCATGTGGAACCGTAAACCGAGTCACCATCCGAACTGACAAGTTTGGCCAACCAAAAGGCTATGCTTACGTAGAGTTTCTTGAAGTAGAGGCTGTCCATGAAGCTCTTTTGCTGAATGAATCTGAACTGCACGGACGTCAATTGAAGGTTAGAACAAGAGGCTATTGTTGTTTCAAAAATATCTGCTGCATTTTTCTTTTGTGATCATTCATTGTTTTATGGAATTTTTGCAGGTTACTGCTAAGAGGACCAACGTACCAGGAATGAAGCAATTTCGTCCTCGCCGGCCTAATCCTTACCAGGGGTTTCGAGGCAGAGCCCCATATGCACCTCCTTTTGCTTATGCTCCTTTTGGATATGGGTATGTTGTTTTCATTTCTGTCCTTTCCATGAGCATTTCATCCTGGACCTTAAAAACATCATCCAGGTGTGGATTGATTTATTTGAGTTGCAGCAAGCTGCTTCCCCTCTCTTAGGTTCTCTATTTTTGCTGTAAACAGTGGACATGTAACACTCGTCTTTTTATTGCAGGAAAGTTCCAAGGTTTAGAATGGGGATGCGCTATAGCCCCTACTATTGAATGCCTATTTGTTCTGAATCGGAACTATTGTTTAATGGATCGATAGGCCATAACAATCTACTCCCTGTTCTGGTCTCATGGCTGATGTAGGCCATTCAGTATGAGGGAATGGTCCTGTCACCGAATGAGTACCAATCCTTGTAAGCTTACGATGTATCCTTCTGCTTTGTTTTGATATTTGATATATATTCAAATGTTCTTTGTAAAAGTATCCTTGTTAAATTGGTTAATCTTTGGGTTTTCAGTTGGGTATTTACTTCTCTCAAATTTGCAATATTGTATAGGTGCATCTCTCCTGTGTTTAGTTGTAGGCCTCAGTTTTCTTTACGGAAGTCCAAGTAATGGTGGTACTACTTATCATTGTTGTCCTAGTCTAGCTCGTGTCGTGATTGTTAAAAGTCAAAACCTATGATAATCCATTGTTGGCTCTGGGAAAACGTTGTGTGTGTGTGATTCCTTCAAAGTTCACAGCAATAGCCTCAGTGTTGCTTTGGTCCACACTACTTTCATTCGTGTCCAATATCATTTTAATTCATTTGTTTTTCATACTAATTAAGACAATCGGTTAATTTATTTAGTGACACATTAAATTTATTAATTATTTGTATCTTTTTAAAAATTATCTCACAATTTATTGAATTTATTTCATTCCTGTCATTGTGGGTAATCATTTTTTTATTATCTTCTCAAGAAAGGAAGTTGATCTTATTAGTTAAAAATGTCTATTTATTTTGATAAAAAAAAGTAATACAAAAAATCATTTAAAAAAACTTAAAGAAAGAGAGAAATGAATTTCCGGAAACGTTTCTGTATAAAGTTCGACTTATCCTTTACGCAAGAGCCGTATTGTCAATTCAATTCCTGTGGAGTGACCTTATACCGTGACCCTCTGCACTCAGTATCAGAACTTGTATAGTAGTTTACTCATTAAAGACAGTCAACTTACAATAAGAGTGCATCAGACATTCACTCAATTATTTCCTTCACATGTACGTATAAAACTGCAATGGCCAACTTTGTCACGATAACATTGAAAATGTGAGAGAACTGACTCAAGAATACCATGTCTAGTGGCATAGACCAGTTCCCATTATGGTAGCTATGCCATAGCAGAGGGTAAAATCACACAGCCACGCATCTGTGTAGAGTATAAATTTTATTACTCAATTTTCTCCCATGATTACACTAATTCACCCATCTCTCCTTATTTTGAATTCTCACTCTTCTTGATTGAGAAATTGCTTGGCGTGGATGCGAAACAGAAAGAGACATAGCATGTAACTCCACCCATCAGTGTTCTGCCATTATCCTACTCATTTCAAAGGAAGACCAACAACCTTTTACCCTTTTGTTAACAAAATAATATAGCAAAAGCTACCTCACCCCAATCCTCACATTCACAAGGGTACAAAACCAAAGCTTATCAGAAATATAATTGCAAAGAAAAAGGACCCACCAAAACCATCTAAAACAATGAAACCACTGTGGCCTCTAACACCTTGTGAGATTCACTTCACCTCACCAACATCATCATGCCAATACTTAGCCATAATGGTCTCCCAGGCCCCCAACACCACCTCCTTTATTCTCATTTACCATAAACAAACAAAAACACCAACCCTCATCCACCACCGATTCATTCCTCAACCACCCTAACTGACTTTACTCAAACCTACCAATAATTCATGAAAAGAAATAGCACTCTCAATTCCTTTTCCTTTAAAAAATACAAAGTAACAAAATCATCAACATAACTTGACATATATATATAGATGTAAAATATATGACATTAAAGATATCCTTTTTTTTTTTTTCTAATCTTATTCTTCGATATATTCTTAATTTACTATTTATACAACATTCCAGTTCCTCTATAATTTTCCCAGCACAATTTACAGTCACACTAAACGACAAAAGCAGGCTCAGAATTTAGAAACACACTCAGTACGATCCCACTCCATCATCCATTACCTATCCCCTGCTTCCGCACCCAAGGACCAATATCTACACAACTCCACGCCACGTGGCACTCTCACACGAGGGTCTTGCATGTCAAACTCTGTGGGTCCCACATCGCAGGCACGAGATACTTCCGGCCATTAACACCATGCGCATTGTAACTTGCCCCCGTTACCTTATCCACCAGAACCCGACCCGGGTAACCCGGGTATGACCCGCTGCCGAAAACTCCCGTGCAAGCCGAAACGGCCTCCAACGGCGCCGTCGGGGGTCCCTGGAAGTAACCGTTATTGAAAGGGTTCGTGACAGTCCCAGCAAGAAGAGTGGCTAAGTTAATAATCATTCCGTCAATGCCGACGTCACCGTTAGGAGCAACTAACGGCGGCGTTTGGGGCCCGTAAATGGGTTGGTGGAAGGGCCACGCGCATTGCCCGGGGCACTGCGTTTCGGAGTTTCCGACCCATATGTAAGCGGTGCGGGCAGCGTTTCCAACGTTGCGGGTAGAACCGTGGGTCCCACAGCGGCTCATGCAGAAACCCTCAACGGCGACGTCCTTGGCCGTTAAGACGACCGTTATCGAGTTGAGTTGGTTGAACTTGGAAGCGAGTGCGAGAACGTGTTTTCCCTTGAGGCTTTTCCCGAGCGTATAAGCCGGGTGTAGAATCTGGTTCCCTACGACCAGCGCAGAGGATCCCCCCTTGTACTTCTCCGTGGTCTTCCACCACGTGGCGGTCGAGGGAAGCTCCGCGTTGGGTGCTCTGCTCAGCGAGTTTATGAAGTCGACGATTATGGAACGTTGGATCGGAGTGAAGGTGCCGTACCAGATGAGATTGACGGTGATCCGCCCCTTGAGGAGCTGGCCGTTGTGGTACTTGAGCACAAGTGGCTGCTCCTGTACAAGCTCCCCTACGGTTAGTAAGGGGAGAAGTAGCAGCGTTAGCACCGCAGAGAAGGCGGTGGCAGTTTTGTAATTAGAAGGCATGTTGTGGATTAGAAGGAAAGTGTGAAGAGAGATATGGACACGAGTAAGATGGAGAGAGTTATTTATATACCTGGTGAGGGGGGACAGCTGTGGCCACTGAGGTGTCAACATCCTCAGCCTCCACGTGGCTACTTTTCATTCGCTGGGTCCTTTACAGCCTGTCAACGTTTCAACTTCTTCGTTCTTTTTTCACATTTTATGTAACAATAACTTTTACCTCACTATTACATTCTTATTTAATGATATTTTTTCATAAAAGGCAATGAATATAATAAACTTTGAGAAGATAAAAAAGACAGCCACAACTTTTTAAGAGATTTTTACAGATAACAACAACGACACTGTATTTGATTCTTTCCTCTTCTTGTCACAAAAAAAGAAGTAGATAGTACACTCGAAATTTAAATGCTGAGTATACAAGGAATTTAAAAAGGGAATTTGTCCACGCCTAAAGTTTAAATTTTTAAATCATTACTTTACATAAAACACTAATGCTTTAATCTCTTTGAGAATCTTACAATTAGGTGTAATTTAAAGAATCTAAAAAGTTAAAATCAAATTTAAGATTACTAATTAAATCGATTTGTCACTCAATTTTGTAATAGAAATTAAATTTATAATATTTATGAAAATAATAATATAATAAAAATATTACAGAAATTTGAGTACTCTGAATATGGTTTGGCAATCCCTAGAATGCTTTAGCATGCGCTCCAACACAAATTGGAACCTGGCTATTTGGTCCCATGGGAAATATAAGTGGCAATGTGGACCGTAGGATTTGAATGGACGGTGAGATGAGAGGCATATAATTGGAATGAGTTGAAGTGTGATGCAGAGTGCATCGAGTTTGATGAAATTGACGTCAGATGCGGAGTTCCAGGAAGAAAGAGTGTTCCAGTGGATTTAAAATACCCGCGCATGCAGCTCTTTGTCTCTTCTTAATCAATAATCTAAAAACTTTGATTGCAACTTACAGAAACTAAAGACAATTATTTTAATATATTTTTATAAAATATCATAACTTTAATTAATATCTAAGCATTTCTAATATTATTATATATTCTATATTAACAAAATAAAATAAATTCCTCCAAAAAAATTAAAATAATAAGTACATTTAGTTTTTTCATAAACACAAATTAGTGTATGCATAAGTTAAAAATAAAAAAAATAGAGAAATTATATTTTACATATGTATATCGAGCTAGCCTTCAAAATCATCTAATTGTTTTATTTTTGTGATATTTTGTTATTAATTTGTGTCCTTTTACTTTCTATCTTAACCTAAGCAATAATGAAGAAAGATGTAAAGTTAAAATAATGATAGGTTTAGGAATTTAGGGTTAGGGGAGGTGGGACATGCAAGAGAAGGTCTTGAGAAGATCCTAAATAGGTCAGCGTATTGAATTGCAGTCATATCTGGCAACTTGGCTCTAAACTATTACCATATCTAGGTTATAGTCTGTGACTTCAATTTAGAATTTAATTATTTGAAGAAGAAAAAAGTATACATGTTTATAAATTTGTATTTTGGTGGAGGCACGTGAGGAGGAAATAAATGGAGTAATGAAGGGGGGGTTGTGGTAACATTGAAGGAAACAAACATAGATTCCATTATAAACAAGAAAATTGATTGTCTTTTAAATGTATGTATGTAATGTAAGATAGATAGAAGCTTAGAGTTGAAATGAATAGTTGAATTGAAGTAACGTGACACAAATTGAAGCATTGAGGAGTTTAGTTTTTGAGATTGAGACAGAGCAAGGAGGAGGGTAACGAGGTGAATGTATCGTTTAGACGCGTCCTTCGTAGTCGTGTATTTGTTGGGGTTTGTGACGTTACGAAACGAGAGAATAGGAGCAGGAATAGTAACAAGTCTGGCGCAGAAAAAGGTGAAGGAAGGAGTGAAAGAGAAGGGAAAGAAAGAGTGACGTGTTGCGTGAGAAAAAGAGAAGAAGGGTGGCCGTGGGTTGTGGGCGCCACATCGAACTGAAAATAAAAAATGATTTTAAAATTGTTTTGCAGTGAAGGAATTGGAATGGATGGCTTGTGGATAAGGCAGATATCCACGCCTCGTCGCCTTCCCAAAATCCCTGCTCCAACTCCACACACACACACACATACATACACCTTCATTTCACAAGTGCATGAATCAATGCTTTTAATGCTCCTAATTATCTTTTAAATCATTGTTATATTCTTCTTTCATGTTCAATGTATTCTTCTTAGTCGTAATTAATACAAGAGGATTGTGATTGTTTTTAATTTAGTTATATTTCTTGGTCCTTTTCCATCACTGTAATGGACGAAGAGTGAATAATCAAAATTTGCCTTTTCACTTCCCTGTACCTTTCGTTTTATAATAAACCAAGTTAGTTTTACTCACGTTTTATTTACTTTCGCCATGGTTGTACACAAGGGGAATTGTGTCGTGAAGCTTTACAATTTGAATGTGTTTTTGCTTCTTGTTTGGTCGCTTTTCTTAAAATTTATTTTCGTAGTGTACTTGGGAAATAGTACTTGTATAATTTGAACCTATGACAATGACAAACAATAAAAGGAAAAGGAAAAAGAAAATAGAAACTGAGCAATAATGCTGCAATTGTGCTCCACATGAAGTACGTCATGGCTTGGCCACTTCACATCTCAACGACAGAATCCGTCAAAAGGCTAAGTATCAAGGCAAAGCAACGAAGAACTGATCCATGATTGATATGAGATATTATCCTCTTAAATCCAAATATATTTCTTTTTCCTTTTAAATCTATTTTTTTCCCCTCACTCAAATTCATAGTCTCATCTAACTACAACGTTGATGAATTAAAAGTGATTTATGTCATGAATTTGGTTATTGGGTTAACCATAGGAGTGAAGTCAGAAAAGTTGTTATGAAGTAGAGAAATGTTCATTAATGGTGTTTCTTGATTTGTACATAGTCAAATCCACGGCGGTGTCTGGGTGTGGCGTGCGATGTGAGATTCGTGTGGGTCATTATTTTAGGGCATCGTGACTCATCATATACCATACATACCCTAGGGTTTGTGCATTTATGAAAGGGGTCTACTATACGTGTGATATGATTATTGTACATGCCTATCATTGGAAGAGAGTGAGAGCATTGAATAGTTAATAAAAATGAAACCCACCAACACCAAATTGGGCACACCCATTGTGACCTTAGGAGGGAAAAGAAACAAAATAGATGCAACAAAGTGAATCTCATTATAATAATAATAATGCAAGAATGGGCACCTCCAGCTGTCTTACAATTGGGGCAATTTTGAAGTACAATTTTATCCTACCCTCTCCTATGCCCTTCTTCTCTCCTTCCATGCATCCTCATAGATTCACATTTAAATTGTGTCCAATTCACACTTTGGGACCATGGCATCTGTTCTCAGCAAAAAAGGGTCAAACAAGTTAAAGAAATCTTTTGGGGGTCACCTACCCAATACAGCTGCAAGCGTCCAATTCTCTTTTTTTTTCCCCACTTTTTCAGAAATCGACCAACTTGTTTAGGTCTGGTGGGAGTAAGGCCAAAAAACAACTTGGAAAAAACTTATCTTCTTCATCATTTTTAGGACTTGTTCCACCTTTTCATTTTCTCCTCTTCTCTCTTTCTGCCTTCTTTTTCCTTCTTCAAACACCACCGAATCAATCCCTCCTTGTTTCAGTCGCTACTTTTCTTCCTTTCCAATAAAACACTTTCTCAGCAATCAATCAATCATATGCTTCTTCTCAATCCAACATAGGATTAAGGGATTTTTTCTCCCCAACCCTTACTATTGGAAATCACATTCAATCTAATCTTCTTTTGTTCTTGCATTCTATCTAATCTAATTAACGTTTATATGGAATTAAGAACCCCTTAACTCTCCCTTGTTTATTTTCTTCACACGTCATGGTTCTTTTAGAGTACGAGGATTACTAGTTGAAGGTCAACGAATTAATTAGTTTAATAGCCATCTAATAGATTAGTTGAATATTCAAATTAAAGTTTTATATTAAATAGAAATAAAAAAGTTAACAACGTAAGAAAAATTTATAACATAATGTTTTAAGATTTTATATTAAAAATAATATCATATTAGTTCATATTTATTTATAAAGATATTTTATTATTAGTTTCATCAAAAATACCTATAAGATTTTAGTTTAATATGAATGTAATGTTACTCATTTTTAAAAAGAAGTTAATATCAAAATATATTTAAGTAAAATCATAAACTAATTAAATAAGAAATTATAACATCATCATTGATTTAAAATCTTAAAATATTATATTAGTTTGTTTTTTTACTTGATATAAAAATATTTACAATATTAACCAATTTAAAAATTATATTTATTATAATTTTTAACATATACATAATAATTTATAATTAAAAACACATTACATTATTAATGTGCAATGATTGAGTGGTGGTCCAAATTATTGAAACACTCTTTCCTACCCAAAACATATTTGTAGAATTGTGGAAAGTTTATTCAAACATTTTGCATGTTATTTTCTTCTATTCTTTCTTTAGGGCAAGGAATACATATTCTTTTATATATCTTTTAAATAGATTAATCAATTTCATTTCAACACGTTTCAAAGCTCATTTTATGGTTTTTAAAAAAAGTGATTATTTTAATTAATAAAATAATTATATATATCTTTTTGTATTTATATATTCAAAATGGATTTTCCGTACACCTAATTAACTAATTGACACTTGGGATACGAAAGTTTATTTGATATTTAATATATTCTTGAAGGTTAATTATGAAAAAAATTATTCGTGTAACACTATGGAGACACACAAAACATCCTAAAAATCTCTAAAACATAAGTTTTGAGTTGATTAAAATAAATAACTATTTTATTATATTAATCAAGACGACTAAAGTTACTAAGCAAGGTTCATTAAATATAAATTTATTAAAAAAATAAAAATTTTAAGACATATATTATTTTAAGATAATAAATTTCTAGTTCATACAAGTTCTTTTTTGCTATATTTTTCTCTTTTTTCATCCATTAAATTATATGTTTTTCGTTATTCTTCTAGGGTTTGGATTATGTACTACAATACAATGACTTTGACATACATAAAAAAAAAAAACAAGAGTGAGGCTGCGAAATTTGAATTTGAACACAAACAGGCCTAAACAGTGGTCACACCCAACACAATAGATCCTAAAATGAAACCGACATCATATTTTTTTGCATGATAATTTAACCTTTACACTACTCTAAAAGACAAAAACTATAATAAATGCTATATGTATGATATATTTTGTGCTTACATTTAAATGATATATATTAAAGAAATAATGAAAGTGGTTTAATGTTTAAAAGAAAATTAATTTTCCAATAACTTATATTGATTAAAGTTTTACATTTAATATTTTAATTAAATTTAAGATAGTAAAAAAAATCATATATTTTTTTTAATAAAATGTAATTATTAAATTTCTTGGTGGCATGAGTTAAGTGTTGTCTTTAGACTACCTTCATGGTATACAGTATATTTTTATAATTTTTTTTTCTTCTCTTTCTCTTTCTCTGTTATAATATTATTTTATTCTGGATTATTTTTTTCTTTTGTTTCTATCTCTTTTTTTCATGTAAAAATAATATCTTATATATAAACTATTTTGAATATGTTTGAGTCTAAATTTAGATATTGTTTGGAGAAGTTTTTAAAAACACTACAAGTCTTATAGAATTATAGAATGAGTAGATGGATATAGATGATTGAATGGCAATGACCCTTCAACTACGATCAAACTGTAGTTGAAAATAGAGTCAAACTTAATTAAACAGCTACTCAAATGACAACTTAAACACCAAGACTCGTTACTTATCCACTTGCTTACTGCAAGTCAACTCTTATATCACTTTTCAATTATTTATTTCATATCATATATTATTTAGAATTATTTTTTAATTTTATCTATTATACATATATTTCATTCACAAAATTAAAGTTAAAAATTATTACATATTATAATATTATAAATTTATTAAAGTTGATTTTATATTATTAAAAATTATGAAATATTTAAATTAATTTTATAAAATGAATTAAATAAGGTGAAATTTATATTTATCTTTACAATATTATATATTTAGTTAGTATGAGGAAGAAGAATTTTTTATCATCTTAATATTATTAAAATTGATTATAATATTATTTTAAAAACTAGAAATCATGTAATTTATATATTATATAATTACCTTATAAAATAATATTTATATATTATATTATATTTAAATATATTCACGAGTCTTATATAATTTAGAGTTAAAATTAAAGATGATTTACAATTTTATTTTCTTAATTTATTGAGATAATTTGATTAAAATCCTAAAATAGATAATATAAAAGTAATATTATATATATATATATATATATATATATATATATATAATAGTTTGAACATTTATATCCTAAAATAAACTGTTAATTTGACTTTTATTTATTAATTTGGACTTAGTCATATACTGTCTTTTTCAGTGACCTGCCTCCAAGTTAAGAGGTTATCAGTGGCCAGTTTGTTCTGATAGCAACTAGTTTTGTTTTTATTTGTAATGCAAAGCAGAAACAGATTACAATTAATTAGTTGCATGAGGTAATTAACTTTGTATTAGTTTAATCTAAATAAATCAAGTGGTGCTTCGAAACTAGGTTTTCCTTGCCTTCGATTTTGAAGAGCACGGGGAAGGCAATTAATTAATGGGTTGTTTCCAGGAAACAGCTTGCAGCTCCTAACAAAAGTGAAGTTAATTTGACTATCGGAATAGTAGCTTTGAAGAGGTTCAAACCTAAATCAATTATTTAGGACCCATTAGACTTCCAATTTGGCTTCTTCTTCTTCTTCTTTCTATGGTTTTCAAAATGATTAACATCATAGTGTTTTTATTTGGTGGATTAAAATGAGAGGCAAACAACCAATGGGGCCACACGTTTTCTTAAGAAGAATATCATATATATTATAAATGGTATTCATCAAAAAAAATTATTAACAAAATCAATAAAAGATTAAATTCTGAGATAATTTGAATGTAAAATATAGTGTATTATATTTAAGTTTCAAAAATATAATTAATTATATTAGTGGACTTGTTTCATTACTTAAAAGACATTATTAAATTAAGAATTTATATCACCAAACTTAATAATTGCAATTCAAATAAAAATAAAAACAGACTCCTATTTTATGCATGATTGTGGATTATCAAGCGTCACAAAAATTTAATCAAATTAGTATTAAACTTAATTGCATAAAATAAACTAAAAAACCCATATTGTCTTGTAAAATAACATCATTTTTACAAAGGAAAATAATATCATCTGTTTTTTTTTATTATTATGTAAAATATGTTATTAATTGATAAAATATATTTTTACTATAATAAAATTTTACATAAAAATACTTCTAATATATAATTATATATAATCATTTCTCAAATTTATAGAGTTGAATTTATTTCTAATATTAATAATTAACACGTGTTTATTTATTTATTATGAAACATAAGAAGAAAGTGGTTGATTTTATTTTAAAAAGTGAAGGTTCCTAACTTATCACGTGTCAAAGTTTTCCCAACCACAAAATTTTCATATGATTAAATAAGAAATGAATAAAAGTACCGTATTACTAACCTCTATTCTTATTTTATCAAATTTAATTTAAAAATGTTAAAAGATTACAGTATCATTATGTCTCAGAAATTTCTGGAAACATAATTGTTCAGAATAATTAAATAGAAAGTGATCCAAAATTGCCATAGCTAAATTCATATTTTTAAGAAAATAAATTGTAATATTATGAGAAATTATATTAATCAGAAAAGAATATTCAACAAACTTACCACTAAAAAAGTATTTTATTTTACATATTATATTATAAGAAATTGTGATAAATTAATTAATTTTCATAAAATATTTATAGTCAATTTAACTATCTAAAAAAGTATTTTATTTTACATAGAAAATGTAATTTTTTTTTACATTTTTGGTTTAACTAAATAACTGTTTTAATTTTAGTTTTTTTTTTATGTTTTTATTCTTTTTGAATTAAAATAAGAGTGAAACATTTATGACATGAAATTATAATATATATATATATATATATATAATTTTAAAATAATATGAAATTTATTTTGTACAGTACCTCAAATTTTTTCATTAGTTTTGTTATGTAATTAAAGAGAAAATAACAACTTATACAGCAAAAAAAATAACTGACCTCAGAAACCATCAATATGGGCCGAGAGTAGTCATATCGTAATTATCAGAAAAAGCCCAGAAAAGAGCGGGCTTGGATCCACCCCTGAAAATGATTTAATCCATGACCTTACCATGTGATTCCTTAGTTCTGAAATTTTCTTCTCAAATACTTAAAAAATTTAGCCAAATTGTAATATTAATATATTATTTTTAACTCATAATTTTATTTTATTTATGTTTTTTTAATTGTCGTTCTTAAAATTTATAAAATCTTTGACTTGGTTCAATTATAATTTTTTCCAAATATTTTTTTATATTTAATTAATTAAATAATTTTTTGACGGTCTATAATTGATACGTTAGATTTAAGGTTTAATAATATCAAAATAAAATATATAAAATGCATGTAAAACCGAAGGTTGAACCAAAATAACATATTTTATAAAATTGAGATTTTAAAATAAAAAAGACTAGACTAAAATCTCAAATAAAAATTACAGAGGACCAAAATTTAATTTATTGAGACTAATACTAACACTTTTCAATAGTGTTTTCATCTAAGTTCAAATGTAATTACAAAATATATACTCAAATTTTCTGAAATAAGATACAAGCAAATATTAACTAGTTCAATCTTATTTAAAAATATATCTAAACCTAAGTTTTAGCAAAATGTTTAATAATAATTATTAAAAATAATTTAGAAAACATGTTCATTTTATGAGATGAAAAAAAAACAATTAATATTTTTATCCTCCATAGAATTAAACAATTTATATATATATATATATATATATATATATATATATATATATATATATATATATATAATAAGTTTATAAGGAATCATAAGATAAACTTTATCATATTAAGTAAATATAAAAAATTAACACATTCACCAATCTGATAATTGATTTTTTGTGATTAAAAATTTGGGTCACTAATTTAAGTTATTATTTAACAACTTTTTTAACAGTGAAATATTCTGTACAATCCAAGCAAGATTAGTATAGTTAGAAACTCAAACGTTATTTCTCATATTCAAAATATATAAAATATGGGTTTCTTTATTCTCTCCAATGTAAAATGTAAGTAACTTGTAATCAAATTTTTTTAATAAATATTTTTTATTTATTTTAAATAACTCTTTTTCTCTGACAAATTTTTAATTGTTTCAAAACAATTTTAAAAAATATTAAATTATGTCACTTAAAATTTGTTTTCAACAAAAAGTTGAAATAACTATTATTAGAGATATTTGGTGTGCAAAATCGAATTGGGCAATCCTTATCCGATTTCATAATCACCTTAAGTAGTTTAACTAGTTCAATAATCCTAATAAAGTTTTACATAAATTGAGTTATTAGCTTCCCCAAGTGACTCTTCTCAATGCAGCAAATATATAGAATAACAAAAGCTTCCCAGTTTCTGTTCTGTTTTCAAAATTCAATTTGGTATCTCCAGTCAAATGTTGAAATAACTGGGAGAGGAGTATGACAAGAGAAAGAAAATAAACAGATCTACATTTTCTTAAACAATTGCTTCAATATTATGTAGTTTATTTGAATATATAATCATTACATCCGGAAATAGTAGTAGAATGCTTAATCATTTGTTGTGTTTTTCAACTTTTCACAGAGATAGCCACACTTTTTCATCCAAGTTCCAAATCCACTTCAGAGGTACTTTTTTCCTTGTAAGACTTGCAGAGGTTTCTTGGTGCTGGTGCCACTGCAATGCAATTCTATGCAGTATATTCCTATTTAGTTGTGAAGATCCAATCCATATAATCAATTGTATATGATTCATTTACCTCCCTAAGTTTTGAGTGATTAATTAACGGTTGGACTTCAAGACCTCATCTTCTCCTTACTCTTAATGATTACCAAGAACATAAGTCTATATAAAACAATTATTCCCATTAAGATAGCAAGATCAACCCATTTTGAGTGACCCATTTCCACTTCCCATGTCTTTGTTAGTATTTCCCTATCACTTATGTAGGTACCTTTATCTTGATCACTAGCCAACTTCAGACCAATAAACTCATTCTTGAACAATCCTTGGAAGGCATATTTGTGGAAGGAAATATAGTACATAGGGTATTTCCAAAATGGTTTGGGGAGATCATTTGGCAGGCGATAGAATCCACCAGTTAAAATCATGACTCCCATGATTCCACCAGAGACTGTGATGCCCGTATTGGGATTGGGGAAGATGCTAGAAACCACCATCATGAGGCTCTCAACCCACAATATACATGCAAGTAGTACACTAGAAAAGTAGAGGCAACGTTCAAGTCCTGTGTGAAGTCCAGAAAGGTAATACGTGATTACTCCAGGAATCAGTGACATCAGTACCATATATGGAATAGGTGACAACGTGTGGCTAATGACAAAAGCAGCAACACCATAGTGCCCATTCAATCTCTCACGTTGAAATACCTGAATCAGAAACACAAAATTGTTTGTTTTTTTTCTTCTTTTACCAAAGCTATTCTGCAATCCTAATCTAGTTTGAAATATAGTTTGGTGAACCAATCATTTTCATTAATTGCATTTTGAATTGCCTTTTTTTTTTTTTTCTTTTACCTTCATTTGTTCCACAAATGGAGGAAATCCACCAAGAAGGGTTATGAAAGTTAGGACTGATGCAACAAATGAGACCAGTGCCCCTCTAGCCTGAAATATGCATAAAGATTTGTAGTTATTCTTATGATTATAAGTTATGAGTTATGTTATGCTTCAAAGGCCATACTCTGGAGAACTTTGTCTGCTTTACCTGGATAGATGAATTACTTGAACCAACGTCGAAGAATATAGTTCCCAGACTAATAGCTGCTACAACAAACATGGCTAGACGCAACCAATAATTGCTTACATCGCGAAACAAGTGCAATGAAGATCTTCTCACTAGAACGTGACAGTGAGTAAGAAATGCAGTTTGTGTTCTGTTCCTCTCCATGAAACCATATTCCTAAATTCATCAAAATGTTAGTTCTTCATGCATAAAATCTTTGTTCTATACCAGTTCACCACGGAAATATGTGATATATATTACACTTACACTTTCACCTATTGCTGCTACTTCTTTCTGAACTTGGTTACTAATTTCAGAAGATTTATAAAACCTCACAAGTATATCTACTGCTTCTTCTTTGGGTACTATTACGAGGAAGCATTCTTTATCACCCTGAAAATAATTAAGATAAATAAAAAATGTTTTGTTGCCAAGCATTGATATCTTGATGTTCTCACCAGTTTGAAATCCTTGTTTATGATCCTCAAGAAATGATCAGAAGGGTTGTGGAGAGATGGACAAGGAAAACCATTTGAAGCAAAAAACTACATAGAATTAACTACAAGTTATAATCTCAAAGGAATTTCTGCTTATATACAATGTTTATGACTAATTAGCTACTAACCTCGGTTGCAGCAGAAGTGGTACCAAAATATACTGTTTCACCTGAAGACAAAAGACAAAGATTATCAAATAGCTCAAAAACTTCACTACTAGGCTGATGGATGGATGCAACAATAGTCCTTTTGATGCCATCTCTTATCTTTAGGCTTGCAATTCTGCTCATGACATAGTAGGAAGCTGCACTGTCCAGGCCACTAGTTGGTTCATCAAGAAGGAGAAGTTTGGGGCTTGTAAGAATCTCAATACAAATGGCTAGTCTCCTCTTTTGCCCCTCACTAAGGCCTTTAGAACCCTTCCCTTTAACCCTTGTGTCAGTGGCATCTTGTAGACCCATTTGTCTGATTGTGAAGTCCACTCTCTCTTTCTTCTCTGTGTTGGACATTGAATCTGGAAATTGGAGATGGGCTGAATAGTACACTGTTTCTCCTACTGTTAATGTTGATAACACAGCATCATCATGTGTTACATATGCCTAGTTTCACAAGGTAGGAAAAAGAGATCAATGAGTTTTTCATTTCCTTCAAATGAATGGTTCCTAGCTACTAAAAATGGCTATATGTTTATTTTTCTTCAAACAAAAGCTTTTGAGGGATTTCACTCACAGATGTTCCATAAGCCAGTGCATGTTTGTGACCATTAATTAGAATTTCCCCTGTTTGCTTTGTGCTTGAACCCAGTCTTCCTGCAGATTTTCCAAAACAAGGTCAAACCAAACAGTTAGTCCACAAATTTTTCTATGTCCAGTCTCAATATTCTAATTTTTAGGTTATGGTTCCCACCATTATACTAAATTTAATTTAATTTTCATAATTGTCAAGTTCTCTTATGGTTTCAATTATTGAAATATTGGTCATTAAAAAAATAAAAATTTAAATACGTTTAACTGTGGAGACCAAGGTTAAACTGTAAAGGGTAATTATTTATTTAAAGTCACTTCTCGCAGTTTGTGTTACATAAATGAATGATAGGCATGGGTAGAATTTGATTAGGATGTAAGGATCATAATATTAAGATTTTACACAAGTGGGTGAATTGTTTCGATATTTGTGATAAGTCTTATAGAAGGATTTAGCTTTTCTAAAATATAAAGATGTATTTAAAGAATATAATTTTGTATCAGGTGATTTGTTTGCTCGTACGATGGTCCTCTAATGTTCCATCAAGACCTTACTTACATTTTACAATGCTTCTTCATGAATGAAAGTATAAACTTGAGAGAAACCTGGAAGTCATAATACATCCAAATATGCATTTACCAATGAGAATATGAAGATCCAATGATATTTCATTGTGCAAAGAAAACAGAAAACTCCAATATGCATGCATATACCTGCTAAAGCATCAAGAAGTGTGGATTTGCCACAGCCAGAAGGACCCATTATTGCCAAGAGCTGACCTGGTTTGGCATAACCTGTCAGACCCTTAAGAATTGGTATGCTACCTTGCCTTCCATTGGGAACTGTGACCTGCAAATCCTCCCATGTGAGGAAGATACCCTCTTCCTTGGTCTTAGTAGTTGTGTTTCTTTCTTTGGACTTGGTGGTGGCTTCTGCATCAGTTGTGGCTACAAACTCCTGGTTGTACTGCATAATCAAAGGAATAGGACTACTACTGGAGGCGTTCATAGTCAGTGGCATTACCTTGAATTGGTGGAGATGAAGAAGGAAACTCAAGATCAATATAATGTTTGATTGTGTATATCTAACACAGGGTATGTGGTGGAGGGATCTGGCTTTGTTGCATTATCGTATAAAAACTGCTTTTATAGAAAATCAAAGCATGTTTAAGTGCACAAGAACGTATGACACAAGGCATATGAATGCACAATAACATGAGCTGTGATATATTCACACCTTCATTTATCAAACACCCTTCCACCATGTTTAGATTTTTATATATATATATTTTTCCTATCTCTTACTCTATTGTATTTCTATTTATTACGTACTAAATGAAATTACGATAACTTGGTTAGAAAAAGTTATTGTAGACAAATAGCATATAAAATAAATATTAAAACTTTTCTGAAGTTTTTATTTACAAAAAATGTTATATTATAAGAAGATATTTAAAATAGTGACTTTAAATGCGTATAATTGTAACTCATATAAATAAACAAAATATAAAAGTAAATTATTTCTTAAACTTTTTGCTAAAATTTCATCTTAAACAAATTCGTGAGAGTTACTCTAATTTAATGTATATATATATATATATATATATATATATATATATATATATATATATATATATATATATATATATATATATATATATTAGTTTTGATTATTTTATAAATCAAAACATTTTAAATAGACAAAATTCAAATGTATCTAATTATAGTTTTTAGATTATTTAAATTACGAAGACATTCTCTCTCTCTCTCTCTCTCTCTCTCTCTCTCTCTCTCTCTAAATATTTATCTTAAATTTCCTAACAAAAAGAATGTTTATATGAAATTTTTTAAGATGGTAGTCGAGTGAAAAACGATTACTACTCTATTTAAAATCTCAAAACTACTTTTTAATATGTGTAATTCATGGGATAAATTTTAATTTATATAATTAAAATTTATAATTAAAAGTATAAAAATAAGATTAATTATATTTTTTGTATGGTTAAAATTGAAGTGTTTCATCATTATTACTTTTCACCATTTCCGTTAACGTTGTTTTAAGAAACAAATTCTGAAATTGTAGAAAATAAAAGGATTCCTTTGGTCAATTAAGTGATAAAAAATGAATTTATTCTAAAGTTGAGATTCAAAAAACCTAAACAAGTTTAAAATTAATTAAAAGACATAAGAGGTTAAGAAACGTAAGAATAATTGTTTTAGAACTCGCGTAGTAATATAATGTTTTAAAACAAAACGATAGATTTTGTATAATTTAATTACTCAAAAATTTAATTTTTTAATAATATAAAAAACATATGAAAACTATATAAAATTGGTAATATATAATAAAACATACAATAAACTACTACGCTTGTAAATAGAAAATACATAAGAGAAACAAAATTTTCGTAAAAAGGATATATTAATCATTAACAAAGTTAACAATTTTGTATTATTAATCTTATTGGAAAGCATATAAACTTGTAAAAAATATTGTCCATGAAATACAAAGTTTTAATAATCTAGAAATCAAGATAAGAATGTTTCTCAATATAACTCTTTGTATTTAAATAAACCCCCCACAAATATTATAGTTAGTTAAGTTTTAAACTTTACATTGCTTGAAGTGGGTGGCACGATGCCAGAAAAACTGGATTAATATATTTTTATTTTTGGGTGAGAATTGATTTGCATAGTTTAAATAAAGAGTTTAGTGCATGATGGTTTTGTAAACAACATCACTTTCTATACAACCTGTGAAATCTCTAAGGAAATGAGTTGGATGTGAAGTAATATCCAAGTATAGTTGCTGCAATGATTATTTATGGTTTATCACCAAATCTTATTGCAATGAAAATAATATTTTTGCTTAGTATGAAAATCATTTTAAAGTATATATGAAAACTATTATTATATTATTATATTGGTGACACGTTCATATTTTTAACTTCTCCTTTATTTCCCATTTTGATTTAAATATGAAGAATGAAAAGAAAAGATTTATCTACATCAATCTCGATCACGAGGATGATATAATATTGTAATTATTTGGTGTCACAATAAAAAGTTAAGATATGCATTAATTCCCCACGTCTTGATTGAATTTTAAATCCAAATCTATATTTTTAAAAAATGGATTTTTATAAATCTAAATCTAAAAGCACATTTTCTAAAAATAAGTTAGAAGCATGTTTAGTGTGTTTGTATTCAGGTCCAATCATATAATTAAAATAATATATATATATATATATATATATATATATAAATTGTAAATAATTTTTATCTTTTAACTAACTTTCAAAATTAAATCAAACTAAGTTTTTAAAAATTATATATTTTATGTTTAATTTAAAATAAAAAAAGTCGGTATAAAAATATCAATTATACGAGAAAAAATAGTTCTCTTAATGTATTTATATTAGAAATATGAAATATTGATGAGAGATTTTATTACGAAAATTTCAATTTTATTTCACTTATAAATCTTATGATGCTTCGGAGTGGAGATTAAAAATAGTTGATATATACTTTTTTTTTCCAAATCATTGAAGTAATTACTAAAATGACATTCTTACTCTTAAATGAAAACTTATGAAGTTAAGATTTAAGTCATGATTTTTTTCTACCTTTAATTCTAAAATAAAACATGAATTCGTGATTTTTGTTTTAATTATTCAATAAGTATTTTTTTTTAAATTAGGTATATAATAAATTAGACGTTTTGTTTTAAGTTTGTTTTGTTACATACACTTATTCTTCTACCCATGTATCCATTAGATTGAAATATAATTTGGAGTCGTTCTTAAGGTCGAATAGTTTTAACAAGATGGAGATGTGTTCTTCTTTTCAACTACAACAAAAGACATCTCCAACTGGTTGAATCAAAGAACAAGAACTCTGAGGAAATGGGATTGAATGGAAACGAATGATCCCAAGCATATTTGAAGTTGACTACATCTTTAAAAACAACTTGACCAGATGTAACAAGGCAATAACTTGTCCCAATTGAGACAAACAAAAGTATATGAAGACAAAGAAGAGAACTTGAATGAAAATTAATTGGATAATTGAATTAGCCATTTCAAATAGCATAATCAAATTCAATTACTGAATTCGTTTATGCAAATTATAACATTACTTATTTATAACTAAAATGTTATTGAGAAAATATGATCTTAGCGTGAGAATATGATAGAAGTTCTAGATCCGAAAAATTATATGTTGATATATATTATAAAAGAAACACAATATTTATCTTATCTTGTATATTACCCTTAAATATATTTTTTTTTCTTTTCTACTAATACACTAAAATAGTTGTTATTCTATTTTTTAGAAAAGATATTATTGTTTCCTACTTAGAGTTAAAGAGAGGATTGTAATTTTTTTGCAGTAAAATTTTATTATTGTCTATTGTTGATTTTATTTATCTTTTCTTATATTTTATTTTAATTGTGAGTTTTTATGTAATTACTTTAATTTTAAACAGTGGTATCAAAACTTAGTTCTTGGTTGTGATATTAATATGCTGCTGTAATCATTAGAATAATGATTGGAGAAAATTTTTAGTACGTTCTATGGTTGTAGTTATTCTCATATTCCATATTAGAACTAATTACTAGATATAAAGTATGATAATGTGATAATGCGTGTCTAGAAAAAGTTATGACAAACAAAAATTTGGTATTTAAGTGTCTATTTGTGACCCACCTATCTTTCTTAGGAGTTTACTTGATGTACTAGTTATAGTTTTCATCGTTATTCCAGTAGGTAATATTATTCATAGTGACACATGTGTATAAGTATGTTAAAACCATACTAATAAAATATGAGATAGAAAAATTCAATGAGAATAATTTCTCATTATGGAACCATCAGTTCTGATTGAGGTATTTTTGAGGGGGCTAATATCAGAGAGATTCTCACAAATGGGTCATGAGTCAACCATATAAGAGAATATGACATCACTCTCAACCAAAAATCAACCAAAAACCTTAAGGCATTAAGTCATGGGTCTTTCTCACTTATAAATTACTCAACTTTCCCATTTCTACCCAATGTGAGACTTCAAACTCACAATTGAATTCTCAACCGTTACTCTAAGAAATTATGGGTATCAAGAGGAATTAAGTGTTTTCAAATTTAAAAAAAGACAAATTCTTTGACTATACTAAAAATATGAAGGGGTATCTCTTTCGTGGATTTCACTATCTACAAGTTGTTATTAGCAGAGATACAAATATTTTTTTTTTCAAGATGAACTTAGAGAAATTATTACTATTCTCCAATTAGAAGACTTTTAGAAAAAAGAAATTTGGTTTGCAGGTTGACCAAATCTCTGTATGGTTTAAACTGGATGTTCAGGTGTTAGTACAAGAAATTTGATTCTTCATGATTAACCTTGATTACAATAGACTAAGTTCATTATACTTATTAGAATAGATTTGATGAAAATAATTTTATCATTATATGTGGATGACATGTTGGTGGTAGGCTCCAACAAAGTCGAATCCAGGTTTTGAATGTACAATTAGTTAAGAAGTCTGATATGAAGAACAGGGATCAACAAACAAGATTTTAGGAATGCAAATTCACTGAGACAGAAAAGATAAGAATGTTTGATTTTATCAGAAGAATTACTTACTGAAAGTCTTGTAGAGTGCTTCAACATGCAAGGGTGTAAGTCAATTTCTACCATATTTTCTATCAAGTTATCCTCAAGTATGAGTCCTAGCAATAAAGTAAAGAGGAAAATGTCTTGAGTACTATATGTATCAACGATGAGAAGTCTGATAAATACCATGATAGGTACAAGACCAGAATTGCATAAGCAGTGAGAGCAGTTAGTATATTAATGACAAATTATGGTGGAGAATATGAGTATTATTAAGAAAATTCTTATCAAAGGAACCTTGGATATTGAATTATGTTTCAGAGTATCAAAACTAGTTGTTAGATGCTATGTTTGTAGGTGATCTTAATGAGTTTATCTTTATTGGAGAGATAATAACTGGTTATCTGTTATTGGATGTTGTAGCTCTGTCTATTATAAAAGTTGAGTACATGATAGTCACCCAGACATATAAGAAAATTATTTAGATTAAGAGGATAATAAAGGAACTCGGGTACAAATAAGAACATATTATTGTGTGTATTGTGACAGTTGTGTGTATTTTGATAGTTAGAGTGTTTTGCCCATTATAAAAAATTCTACCTTATATGAGATAAAGTAAGAAGAACATAATAGATAATGATAATTGGTTAATAGTGACAACTTTACATAAAGACGATCTTAGTGAATGTCTATTATAATAATAACATGGAAAACAATAATAATATATTGTAAAAATTTGATTAATTTAATCAAAATATTCAAATAGAAGAAAAGTCCTACATCAAAATTAATATAATATTAAAAACCTACTTATTTTTAAAATAAATAAATCTCTTTCAAATCAATTATAATATATATTTTTTAATAAAATAATATTATTTTAATTTTTTTAAATAATTATTATTTTATTAAATATATCTTTCCATGAATTTTTATTCTAATGTTACTTCAATTCTTATAAATAATGATCTAAATACTAATTTAATTTAGATAATATATTTTTTTTTCTGCGTTGCCTTAAAAACGACAAATTTGGGCGTTCGTTCTCTAAACCCAGGTTGCGCACTCCCGTTTCATTTTGCGGTCGTCGGTGCTCGTACGCAACCTCACCAGACTCGGCTCTTCCGCGCGAAGTGTTCTTTTCTGTTCTCCTCCTCTAAAGACGTGTTCTACTATGCTCTCCTTTGCGCTATACTTTCTACTCCATTCTCCTTCATACGAAGCGTTTTACTCCGTTTTCCTCAGCACGACGCATTCTACTCCATTCTCTTTGGTTCGATGCAAAAACTCTTCTACTTCGTTTGTCGTGTTTCGATGTTTTATTCTGTGCTCTATTTCATTTCCGTGCTCTGTCTTGCATTTCCTTATCTTAATCGCGATTCGTTCTTTTATTTGTTTCAATTTTGTGCTTTATTGCACTTGTATGCGTTTCAAATTTTAGTCATTGTTTTTTCTATTTCGTATCTCTTGCTCACTTTCGGGGTAAGACATGAAAATTTATGTTTTTTATTTGGTAAGTATGTAATTTAGTCACATTATTTATTAAAATGTTTTAACTTGATATTGAAATTGATTTTAATTTTCGACTACGTATGTTATAATTCTGTTATATTAAATGCTTAATTAGAGTATTAGTTTGATGTAGTCAAGTGATTGATTATAATTATCACTATGTAACATTAAAATTGTAAGAAAAAAGGAATACGACCACAGTAAAATTGTAGGAAGAAAAGAATAGGGCTAAAGATGTGTTTAGGGTTTCAACAATTGAAAGTTTGTACAAATAGGTGAGAGAAAGTGAGAGGATCTACAACGATATGAGAGGTGGGAGTTTCATTTGTGACGACAGTGGGGTTTAGAGTTCCAATCGCCGTTGTGTGAGATTTATTGTGACGAAGAAGGAGGAGGTTTGTTTCATTTAGGGTTTGTGACGACGACATCGAGGGAGCGAGTTGTTTTTTATGACAAGGGAAGGAGGACCTGTGACGACGGCGAAGTCAAACACGTGGGAAGGACTACCTGCGACTCATTGCGACAACGAAGGAATGACGGTGACGAGAGATGAGCGGTGATAAATGACCATCGTCGACAAGAAGGCAGAGATGGAACATTACAGATCCTCGTGTTTTTCCTAACCTATTTGCACAAACTCTTAATTGTTCATACCCTAAAAACATCCGCGACTTCTATTCCTTTCTTCTTGCAATTTTAATGTGACTGTGACAAATCTGCCACCTAACTATAATCAATCACCTAACTACATCAGAACTGATACTCCAACTAAATATCTAATATAACGGAGTCAAAACATAATAACAATAGTCCAGAATTGACATCAATTTCAATATTCATGTCTAAATTAAAAATTTAAAAATTTTTGGGACTATATTAGAATATTTAAAAAAATAAAGGGACTAAATTACCTATTTAACCTTTTTCTTTTAAGTTATTTAATTATTATCTCTTATATTTTGATGGTTTAATATATGAATTTATTATTATGATGTAATTTGAACTTGTATTGCAATTATCATGTGTTATTAAACTTATCTATTTTCAGTATTATGCAATATTATTGTTTATTATTTGATATAATTATAATGTTAAAATGTTAATTGATTTTTTTGAAATGAGTTCACAAGAAGTTGCCAAGTCGAATCTACCAAACTCTCAGAATTTATTTCTCTTGAAAATGATAACCTTGTTTGAATGGCCAATTCTCATGTTTAAAAGCACCAAAACCTATGATCCATACGAATCTCCAATACTTTGTTTAATTAATTTACAATACTACACCTTCAATCTGTCACCTGTCACCAGGGTTATAATCTCAATTTTTTTCTTCTTCCGAGGAGAATTAACCATCATAGTACAAAACGATTTGCATACACGTCAAACACCTCAGAAGACGAAAGTTGTGGCTCCTGCGAATCCAAGTTCAAGTCATTTATAATCCCAACTTCATACATCTGGTAAGGTTCCGATAATGTATGTGTAGGTGTGTGAAAGAGAGAATGTAATACCTGTCGTATTTCCATGCCCATAAGTCTGTTGAACAGTGAAGCAATTGGACCATTCAATTGCAGTATGCCTGCACTTGCCCCACGTACGGTTGAACGCATGGCAGTCAGCAAGTGACCATAACTCAGACCAGGTTGGTTTTGCACGGTTTGGATGAAGCTATAGGTCAATGCACCAGTAGATTCATTGCCACTAAGGGCCTACATGAACCAACCCACATGAATCTTTCATTGTCCAAGAGTTTTATATGAAAGAGCTTTGGTGATTACAGGTGGGAAAAATATTACATACGTTGGTATCTAGGGAGGTTTGACCATCCTCACAAGCTGATATAGAAATTGCTAGCCCTCCTCTTGTACCTTTATTAACTCTGGGAAATCTTTGATCTTCCCATGAGTAATAACCTTCCCTGCATTACACAAAGATTATTCAATTCAAAGAATGAAAGTTCAATTTTTTTATTTTTTTTTTATTTCTATAAAAAAGTAGGCTTGAGCTTTCCCAAACTGACCTGTTCATCTTGCAGACAAAAGGTAAATCAAGAACAGTTCCACTGTGGCAGGCATCGACAATGGCATGAAGTTTAGCTCCACGAGGTAACGGCCTAACAATTGTAGAGTTAATCTCATCATCGAGTATCTTCCCTTTCTCTTCATAATCAACGGGACATATTGCTTCATCAAACCCATCAATTTCGTTCCCATCGAAGTTCCTTTCCTGAGTGCCATGTCCAGAGAAGTGGAACACCAATGAATCCCCTGACTGGGTATTCTCAACCAGCCACCTCATGGCCATTGCAATGTTATATCTCGTCGGGATCCTTAGCGGGTTTCTCTCATCCCAATCATCTGAGACATAACCTTAATTCTTAATCTTACTTCTGATTTAGCAGATGTCAAGTATAAGAATAAGAATATATTTGCCATTCATCCTACTCTCTATTCCTTTTTTTGTGAAAAATATAAATCCAAATATATCAAAGTTTTGTAAGTAACCTTAACATTTTTTCATTCTAAATCTATATTTATAAATTCAATCTCTTTTTTTTTTAATATATATATATATATATATATATATATATATAAATATTTATATTTATTTATTATTTATTAAAAATATATTATTTGAAAATATTTCTTTATTTATTTAAGAATCTTTATGTTTTTAATCCATGCCTATATATAAATTACTTGTTTTTGTTTCTACATATATTCTGTTTTACTTGGTTTTAATTATTATACAGATATAATTTTCTGTAATCCCAGAAATTTTGCATAGTAAAGATTAAGATAAATTAAAAAGAAGAACTTAATGGCATATTTACTATTCAACTATATCACTATTTAAAAAAAAAATATCACTTAAGATTTTTATATTTTATTTTAAACTTTTGTATATTTAACTGAATTATATGATCTCATTTTTTTCTTTTTAAATATAACGTTATTTTGACTTTGTTTTATTTTTTAAAACATGATACATAATTTTTATGATAAAAATTTAACAGATTAGTAAAATAAGTAAAAGTTTAAAACCTTGATAATAAGTTTAGTGGAAAACATATATTAACCCAAAAGTAATATAAAAAAAATCAAAACGATTAATCTCTGGGTATCGAAACCAAAGCAGAAAGATTGTGAAAGCATAAGAAATAGTGATCAAACCTATTTATGAATTGTAAATGTTAATAAGAAGTAAAGTAGTGACTAAACAAACCTATTTATTAATTTGTAAATGTTAATATGATAAAAGAGTGTATGGGAAGACCTGTGAGCATGAGAATGGAGTCGCTAGGGAATCCAAACTGCTTAATGAGAAAGTATTTCATGCATTTTGCATCATTGACGGAGCCTTTTAGCTTGTAACTCTTCCCATGGTAGCGAATTCCACACAGCACAGCTCGCTTTGAGCCATAGGCATGGTATGAAGGTCTTACAGACTGAGGCTGAGGATAAGACCCAAAATTATTGGTCCCAGAAAAACCACCTGAATTGCTGTTAACTGAACTACTTATGCTATTTATAAACCCTCGAAAACGACCTTTGAAATTATGAAAGGAGTTGTAGGCTTGACTCCATGGACCTGTCGAGGGTCTTATCTGGGTGATGCCATGGCACACTCCGCACTCAAACACATACACATCTGCTGGCACCACCAGTGCAATTCCACACTGTATACATTTTTCTTTTCTACTTGCCATTTTTTTTACCCTTTCTCTGTGATTTAAGCTGTTAATGGTATGGTGCGGCCTGGGAATGAACGAAGGGTATTACAAATTATGAATGCATAGGAAACTATGATTGCTTTTTCATGTGTGCCTGTGAAATTTAGCTTCTGCTATCTATTTTTTGCAGAGGAAATTGCAGAATTGGATTCTCCTTGCTTTTCTTAGTGGAGAGTGAATATATTGACTTGCTTGTTTTTTATTTGTCAAATGCAGATTACCGTCAATCAAGAATCAGGAATAAGGAACCAGTAAATATATATAGCTTTCTTGTTTGCTGTTATCTCATACAGTTCAATCAACTTTTCATAAATATCTCCAAGAAAAAAATTTAAAAGAATAAAAGACATATATATACTTACTGAATTAGTTAAAGCAACTTTTATTAGGCATAGAAAAATTTTATGTAATTTTTCCAAAAATTAAAGTGTATACAATCAAAGTTTCAAAAACTTACTGTATAAGAAGTTTTATTCATTTTCTATTTTCTGTTTGGTAAGAGATAATGAAGAAATTTATAAGTGGAGTTTGTTACCATTTTATAATTTTAATTCATTAGGATTATGTAGTTAAAAGAAGAAGACATATAAATTATTCTTGTTGATCTTGAATAAGGTGAGACTTATGAGTATATACCAAAAATTATAATATAAAATGATCTATTTAAATACATAAAAATTACCTGGACAATGACATAAAAACAAAATTTGACCCATATATAAAACGCTAACATGATTTATTAAGGGACAAGTTTTATCTTATATAAATTTTGAAGATTCAGCTCGAGTGTTTTTTCTTCTTTATTTATGTTGCAGAACGGTGTAGCAGGTATCAACGTGAACAAGGCCAATGTTATGACGATGAGCAAGTGAAAAAAATTTGAGGGGTTGTCTGTCCTAAAACATTGAACTTGTATAAACCTCTTTTCATCATTAACTAGGTTAAAGCTACGATCATGAGGATTGGCCACGCGATATGTTATCCTCTAGAACTTCTGTTTCTAAGAGCAAATTTTTGATAACTTGACATGAAACGTAACTTTATGGGAATACGAGAAAAATTCTTAATGATAATGTAATGTTTTGTTAGTTATTGATAGTATAAAACAATTTTACCCTCTCATCCAAGTACAATTCATTATTAATATAAAGGTAGATGCAGCAAAACTCAACAAACTTGGAGGACAGTGTTAAACAATTCATTATTAATCTTTTGTTTCTTTCTCTTATATAAAATTTTCAGCGAATATTACGACAAAGAACAAGAAGAGTTTAGTGGTAATGTTCTTACAGTGAAAAACATTTTTACACAATCATTGGTGCTGCACTTGAAATTGAATCAAATACCGATCCATATTTTTATTAAAACAAGTGAAGACGCTTAATTCAAGTCCTTGCAACCAATTACAGCTGGGTTGTCTTTTCAAACTTACATTCTCATCACAGTGTGAAGATGGTCGTAGAAACATCAAATTTCTCTGATGATGATAAAAGAGGATCCTGCAAGATATGTACTCAGTTTCATCATGAAAAACTATATATTTCGTAAATAATGCAATGGCCATTTTCACACAATATAAATGGTGATGGAGTCCAACCTGTGCAATTTTACGATTGAAGATATTTTGCAATATGCGGTTATTGCATCTGCTTCGGTTAATCTTTTTAATCTCGTCGTGCATAGTTTCTAGGAGACGCTTATAAGTTATTCCTGGGTAATCTCTGATTGCTTTTGCGAAAAGATAAGTCAGAACACCATTCATTCCCTTTCCACCAAAAACCTACGTAGGTTGGTCAAAACCCACCACGAGGTGAACAAAAGTATACACATTGAACTACATTGCATTGTCAAGATAAAAATCCAAAAGATTCTTACAGCGCTATCAGAAGCTGTCTGATTATCTTCACAGGCACTAAGACAAATTGCCAATCCACCACTTGTATGTTTTCTTATAGGTTCTTTTGAAGGGGGCTTGTTATCCTCCCAAATGCCACTACAACCATGCATCATGCAAATTCAAATTGTTTTTATGGGGCTGTGGTTAGAGAATTCATATAGCAGAAAACCGAAAAAAGGGCACTTACCTTTCATGATTGTAGACAAACAAAAGATCAAGAATTGTTCCGCTATGACAAGCATCAACAATAGCATGAAGTGTGACACCTTTCTTTAGTGGCCAAACTATGGTGGAATTTATTTCATTGTCAATGATCATTCCTTCTCTCAAATAGTCAACAGGACAAAGGGTCTCATCAAACCCATCAATTTCATCTTCTTTGAAATCTGGCTGCTGCAAACCGTGCCCCGAGAAGTAAAAGACCAATGAGTCTCCTGCCTCACAGTCTTTCACAAGCCACCTTAAGGACTCCAATATGTTGTGTTTTGTTGGTATCAAGTTGGCATTCTGCTCTTGTTCTGCAATATTCATTTCAGTTTTGAAATGAGAAAATTTTGTCACAATGTGGATGTTGAACATGTTAAGAAACAATTTAGTGGTACAGCAACAACTATATTAGTAATTGCATTCGCAGTAACCAACTTCCAAATCAGTTGTGAACTAAATTTTAATTCTATTTCTATAGATAATAAGAGATATTTTGTTCCTTGTAAAATATCAATTTACATGCTTTCAGTTTTACACTGTGAAGCACTAATACAAAGTTGAAAGATATAGATTAACTGAATAAGTCAAATCCATCAAATGGACAGCTATCTGTTTCTGACAGAAACAGATAGAGATACCTGTGAGGATTCGTATGCACTCATTTGGAAAGTCAAAATTTTTTATCAGCAGTTCCTTCATGTTTCTAATGTCATTCATGGTTCCTCTGAGCCGGAATTTCATTCTTTTGTAAGAAACTCCACAGAGAACCGCACGTTTATTATACCTGCTAGTGCTAGGCAAGGCTGAGGAATAGGGCATTGAAGGAGATAATGACCCACTCAGCAAATTTCGATCTTTGTTTGAACCTCCTAGATCACCAAGTTTCAACAATTTGGATCCAAATTGTTTCACTGGACGGCATATTCCACATTCTTTCTTTGAACTAGGTGGTCCCAAAGTTGAATTACTGAAGTGTGAGTTTGTTCTTGAGGGCATTAAGCAGTGACACTCTTCTTTGCAACATCTGCAGGTAACTTTTGCTTCCCCATTTGGTTGGGAACTAGATATATTTTTGGACGCATAGCAACCATGCATAGAAGTACTTGTTGCAGATAAAACACCCTTTCTGTACCTTCTGCATTTAGATGTAGCTTCCATCGTTGACGATGTAGTTTCCCTGTAGGCCAAAGCATGTGAGCAGCATCAAAATTTGTGATGCAGACTCATATGCTCGCACCTCTCACCACATGTTCATGCACTTACCTTGACGTTAAGCAAACTTTTCCTCTGTTGAAATTTGAAAATTGTGTTCTACATAATTGACAATGAGAAAGTGAGGGCCCCCAAAAAGCGTACCTTAATTTATTTTCTCTTTTACAAGAATCCAATCCTACTGTTGCATGGTCGAAAGTTGCCAGATGCTTACTTTTAACAAGTTTTGGTTAGGGTTAGTCAATTTATGCAACGTAGGAGAACCCCACAGCAGTGAGTTAAGGACTCATAAAGACGAGAACTGAAATGTGAGAGTGGGAATTCAGAAAATGTGTATCTCATTCGTCTAGGGAAAGATATGATTCTGATCCTTATTCTCACAAATGATAGCAGCAAGAACCAGATGCTGGAAACTTTTATTTCGGAAGTTATTGACAATGGGTGTATTATTTATTAATAGACTGATAGATACACTAACTTGCATGGAAAGAATGAGTAAGCATCTGATTAATGTACGAAGTTAAAAAAAAAATTGAATTAATCATGAATACATGTAAAAGTTATTCTCTGTTTTATAATTATAATAAGAATATTAAAAAGTTATCTAATTGAGTTTTTTTTTTTTTTTTTTTTTTTTTTTTTTTTTTTTTTTTTAAGTTATCAATTCAGCTTTTCATTCATGCAACTCCAAAGTTTGGTGAGTCATATAATTTTAATTTTTAAAAATAATTTTAAAAATAAGTTAAAAAAATTATTTAACAATTTAATTTTATTTTAAAAAAATTACCTCTCAATAATAATGAAAAGTTATAGAAAATTTGAAAAATGATTTTCTATATCGATGAAGTAACTTACGTTGGATTACTCTGAAGAATAAGGTATAGTAATAAATAACGTTTAGTAGTAGTATTAGCGTAATTCAAAAAATGAATATAAAATGTTAAACTGGATGAATCAATAAAATTTATTTTGGATTATAGTGAATTAAATAAAAAGTAATAATTTACTTTAATATATTAAAAATATAATTCCAATTGATCCATTTTATTAAAAATTATCGGATCCATCATCAATTTTTTTTTCAACGTAATAATAATAATAATAATAATAATAATAATAATAATAATAATAATAATAATTTATAATACATAAAAAAAACTTCAAAAATAAATTTTATAAGATAAATTTAAATTTATCTTTCAAAACTTTTTAAAAAGTAAATTTAAGAAAGATTTATATATATAATTTTTTAATAGATAGATTCCATAAATTTAGTTGTATAAAATCATGGATAAATGGATTGATAGGTCATGAGACGGAGGGAATTGGCGGGAAAAAAATTCTTTACAATTTTATTAAAAAATATATTATGTTAAAAACATATTTATTTGTGTTGATCTATCGTCTTGATACATATATTTATTAAAAAATATCTTATTTAGTATATTTAATGTGACAATTACCTAATCAATGGAGTAAACCTTTGATTTAGAAATATAAATCATGTATTTGAATTTTAGTTTTTTTATATATTAATTAAAATAAATGAAGAACAAATTCAGATGATTAATTAAAAGAAAATTCAATAAAAAGGAATGGGTAAGTTAAATATTTCTTTTAATTTTCTGGTAATGGATTTTTTACACTTATGATGCATAGTTTTAACAATTGGTTGAAACTACTGAATCGACGTTAGTGTACTTTCAAATGTATTAAAATTTAAGAGGTACATAAAATAATTATAAAAAATTGGTTCCTTGATAGAAATTTTTAAGGCTTTTTATATTTTGTATTACCCTATCTCATAGCATATTTCCATCTTTATCATTCATATATCTTCTAATAAAAATATGATAAAATATCACATATTAACAGTATTTCAATTATAATTATCTAAATCAAAATAATAATTTAATATTTTAAAAAAAATCTTAATATCTAATTTAAATAAAATATAATAAAACATATATTTCTAACATTCATTCTTCCTTTAATATTTGTTTATTTAAATTTGATATTTTTCTTTTTTATTCTTATTTTTTTCTCCTCTTTTAGTTATAATTCTTATCATTCTCTTTTTTATTAGTATGATATTTCTTTTCACAATACTTTTTCTTTTTTGCATTGAAAGTCTTCCATTTAAGACTTAACATATTAAAATTTGCTTGGTTGATCTTTTTTCTACAAAATGTATTGTGAACAAGACATTTTCTTCTCAGAATACCCATTTTTCTCATCTTTTGTTATTTTTTTAACATAAACAAATTCATGGTATGTTTAAACTTCTTAAACTTTTACAATTTTTTCATATTAACCATACGTTTCTCAAGTTCATCGATCACGTTTCTCAAGCTCTTCATCCTTTTGTCTAAGAGCCTCGTCTTTGGCCTTTAATATATCTTTAGTCTTTTCCTTCTCGAGGTGCATTTAGTGTAACATTTCTTACATTTGTAATAATTGTTTCTCAAGCAGTTATTGTTTGTCGAAGTCTTGTTTCCTAGCAATGATGTTGGTATGATTGATTGTTGGGGTTTTCTGTTTCAAAACTTTTTTGTCTCTCTTTATGGGTATTTCACATTCTTCTTGCAATCCTATTTTTTTTTGTGACTTTAAGGTTATGATTATGACGAGGATCATTTGTGAAATACTTGCATATAAACATGATTTAATTTTTACATTTCTCATTTTTCTTTCCTTATAGATTTTGATTTGAGCTATGGTGGAGTTTTCTGGTAGTAGATCAATGATGTAATCATCTTTCATAAGATATGATTGCATTCTTACCGCCCGTATAAGTCATAAAATTCACTATAAAAAAATAGAATATCGACTTGTGAAAAATTTCTTTCTCCTTTCGTGAGAACAAAACTCTTTATACTACTGATGAAAATTTGTAGAGTATTGTGTACTTGTATTTCTCATATCTCATATGGACATGTCTCTATTTCTATTATTCATGCATTCATATCTATATATAAACTAAAAATATGATAAAATATTAAATATTAATAATATCTCAATCATAACTACTTAAATCAAAATGATAATATAATATTATTATCTTATTTTAAAAATATCTTAATACTCAATTTAAATAAAATATATATTTCTAACAGAATTATACTTATATATAATAATATTATCGTATATTTAATTGATGAAAAATTTCATTACAACTCCTCACCTCAAGAGAGATATTTTTGTCACACCCCTCACCTCTGAGGATTTTTCATTTTCCAAAAAAACATTGGCACTTGTATAGTATAGAAACAAATTATTCATAGTTCCTTCATAAAAATGTGTATTAAATAACTTTGAGATTTTCTTTCTTTTCACAGTTTTAAGGTTACCTTTCCCTGTCTTTAAGATCTAAGATCTCACGTTTAGTTACATCTAAGGTTATCCAATTGTCCAATAAACAATAAGTTCTTCTTCAACCTTTTCACATGCCATACCTTCTAAATAATGTGAAATATACCATCAAATATTTTTAACTTGATGTAATGACTCTAACAATTTAAGGCTTGATTATTTCTCATGAACATAACATCTTTCAAGAAGATTTATAAATACAAATCAATCTTAGTGTGAAGTCATATGTCTAATTGCATTTGAATATAATATTCAACTATCATAAAGTTGTTTTTTCCTTTAGAACTACTTTATTGTATAACTATATAAGACTTCTTCATTACATAAGGTACTTAACAAAACAATCACAAGTGCTTGATACTTTAAAGTTCTTTCTTCCATTATTCATATCATATAAAAAAATTTGAGAAATTCTCTTTGTTACATATTATCTCACTTGGTTGGTTGATATGAATCACAATGGGTGATTTAGGAATTTAATGATAAGGTGGAAGGAAAGAATCACTCTTCCTAAGGAAGACAACTCACAAAGAATGTGAAAGTCCTTTCATACAGCCCAAAGGTTCTTAAATCACTCAAGAATTTAGGAGAATCACTCTCACTAAGATAAAAGAGATAAACTCTAATATTTTTGAATAAAATTCCACTTGTTATTTTTTTATAAAAATGGTTCAGCCTATATAGAAACTTTGCCATCAGAATTATAAAGATTCAATAAAGGAAAATAAATGCTAATAATGATGCATTAACCTAGGAATTGAAAACTACTTAATGGAGACAAATAAAGGATAATAATGATCTATTAACTTAGAAATTGATACTACTTAATGACTGATTATAACTAAAATTATGGCAACCAAAATTCAATCAGCATACACCCTCTTGGTCTCCCAAAGACTGATAACTAAATTTCCAATTGGGCCCTTATTACAATTTGCAATAAAACCAAACTAAAGCCCATTAATTGATTAATCCAAAACACAATTTGGTCAACCAACAATACTTGTTGAAGAGCTTCATTTGCTTCCCTTACTCTAGCCCTTATCATAGGTCATGTTCATATCATTATCTCCCTCTTGAAAATGAATTTGTCGTCAAATTGGATTCATCATCTACATAAAAAAGAGATAAGTCTGATAAATTAAATATAGAATTAACATTATACTCACTTTTTATAGCTAAATAACTCTTCCTCACTTCAAGTATTTCACTCTTCTTTTGATCACTCTTTTTCTTCTCAAGTGTTTCAATAACACTTTTTTTTTCTCTCTTTTCTTGAAATTTTTTTCTCTCATTTTCTTTTTATCCTCACACACTTCTTGTGGACTCAAATGTTTGAGCACAATCTTTTTGTCTTGGTGCATGAAAGAGATCTTGTTGGTGAACCCATCATGATTGACACTTTTATCAAATTGTCATGGTCTCCCCAAAAGTAAGTGACTGACCTTCATAGGAACAACATCACAAAGTACCTTATCATTATATTTTCCAATGAAAATGTTCACTTCAACTTGCTTTCTCACTTGCACCTCTCCATCCTTACTAAGCCATTGAAGTTTATAAGACCTAGGATG